ATATTCACATTTGAGCGGTTAAAGGGCAGAAAGCATGATCACTGGGGGAAGAGGATAAAAGGAGGAAGCGTGAGTCGACCGCAGGGCAAAGAAAAGCCTAAAAAATAAACCCTGATCAACGTTCCTAAAAACAAACGTCTGCAGAAGCTTCGATGATGATTATAAATATGCTTTATATTTAACACAGAATCATTTCATCAAGTCTCATATGTACATCTGAAAATAAAAGTAGCTGTGATCTGGGTTTCCGGTTCCGGCTGCAGACGAGCCGCTTTAATCACACTGGAATGATGCGGATCTACAGAAGTGCTTCATTAGCGCTCACACACTCACAATACTGCTCATCAGAGTAATGTACAATACCTTCGACATCTTCCACTACACACACGCGGACGTCCGGACGAGCGCAGAAACATAAGGACACTTATCACTACAGTTAACTCTAGAGCACGGTCACAACAGCTGGGCTAGTTAAGGCTTCACTGAGATATAAACATGTCAGATTAACTGTGTGTGCTTGGAGACGTGGCTGCTTCCCTGTGTTATAGTTCATGATGACGTGTGTGTGTGTGTGTTCTGCCAGCGTCTCTCTCTCGTATTGCTTGCCTTACCGTGTGCAAAGTAAGTCATTGTGCTACATGATAAACTTGACGTCGTTCCTCGCGGTGCCGCACGCGCTCGTGGCGTCGGGGAGAACGCGCATCTTCATGGTGCCGTCGGCGCCGCAGGAGAACACCTGATTGGCCGGCGCCGTCTCGATCTGCATAACGCCCGTGCCGAGGTTCCGGAAGAGCGACTGTCTGGCGTGTTCGCTGGCGAAGCTGTGCAGGAGCGTCTGGGTCGACATGCTCCACACCTGAGGGAACAGCACACCTTACAATCACACAAGATCACAACTACAGAAACACAAGCATTTATTCAAATAAATTACGATGAAGAAATAATAAAATAAGATAAAACTAAATAAAATACATTAAAATAAAAAATATTAAAATTAATAATAAAAAACCAGATTGAAATAAAGACAAACTAAAATCAAATTGATTAACAAGTAATGTATTAAAATAAATAAATAAATATTATTTTAATACAAATTTATTAAAATTAATAATAAAAAAAAGATTTATTTGAAATAAAAATGTATATATTTTTTATAAAATAACATTAAACAAAAATACAAATTGATTAAAATGAATAAAAAAAACCAGGTTGAAATAAATAAAAAGTTAATAAAAAGAATAAAATAACATTAAACAAATAAATACAAAGAGATTAAATGCATAATAAACAAGATTAAAATAAATAAATAATAAAAATAAAAAAATAAAAAATAACAAACAAAAAAATACAAATTGATTAAAATGAATAAAAAAAAATAAGATTAAAACTAAATCTGTGATCGTCTTGGTCTGTGTCGACGTGCATCACAACTGTCGGATCTGACACAAATCAGTCCTTCCAGAAAAACGCAGAGTTTTTTTGTGATTGTTGCGGGCAAAAATCCTTGATTACGTGGCCCGTTTTCTTTAAAAATGCGATGGAATATGCGGGATATTTATGCAATTTTTGCGATGAAATTGCGGGAACTTGCAAAAATTGCGGTTTGACGAAAAAGAGAAAAAAAAAGTGATTCCCCCAACACCCTGTTCGCACTACGCTACTACCTTAATGTAAAGAGTAATTTCTTATTACTTCCTATGATAAGCAAGCATACTACATCACAGAAAGTGCTGGAAATATTTAATTTCTCATCTTGTTTTATTTCAGACTGTAACGAGTGGAAATAAGGTGTGGCCCCTTTAAGAGCTGCGCGCTGTCTGCAGTAACGTTATATTGTGTGTGCGCCTCGAACACCCCATGTGTGCGGGTCATTTCTGTTTGATGCTACTTCTTTTATCTTATTTTGTTTATTAAGTAACGCTGTGGACGGTAGAACGTGTGACAGACAGTTATACGAGTTCGATTGTGTAATAAAGTGCGAGTTGTGAGATGCCAATCGCCTCCGTGAGTCTGTCTGGCCTCTGCAATAACTCCAGCTGTGAGCTATCCCTATTTTTCTTCCTGACACAACGCGTTACAAGACCTTAATAAACACATCAAACTTACAAAACATTGATGAGTCAAACAAGTTCTGTAGCTTTACTAGAGGAATATGCTACAACTTCAGTAAAAATAAATAAATGAAATATTTAAAAATAAAGTGTGCTCCTGTTTTACAGCTTTTCAATGATGTTCACGTCGCTTAATTGCGTCACTTCATAACGTTCCCATGGCAACAGGGGGAAATGGCTGCTCTTGTGTGAAGCAAACGCAACATTTTCAAACTTTCTGCTAAGATATATGTGACTTTTTTGCGACGAAAATGCGGGGATTATGAAATCATGCAAGCCCCGCATATTTTGCGCGGAAATCAGCAATTTATGTGGCGAAATTGCGGAGTATTTGAAAAAATGCGACCCCCGCATAAATATGCGGACTTTGGCTGATTATGCATTGAATTCAGCGATCGGATAATCGCGTTTTTCTGGAGGGACTGACAAATACACATCATGCATTTAAAGGTGCAGTGTGTAAGTTTAGCGGCATCTAGTGGCGAGGTGGCGAATTGCACCCAACAGACATAACGGTGGCCGACAGGAAGTGATGTCGTCGTCTGAGACAGCAGAGAGGAGCCAGTTAAACAATGAGGTTTCATTACAAAGATAAATTAAGAAATTAGATTTACTTGATTATTCAGTAAAACGATGTTATTGCGACCGTAGAAACGTGGATGTAAGCGGACCCGCGGTGTGTGTAGAGAGAAACGCCTCATTCTAAGCTAATAAAACATAACGATTCATTATGTAAGGTCTTTATACACCACTGAACACAGTTATGTTTATAATATTGCATTTCTGTCAACAGATCCTCCTAAATATTACACACTGCACCTTTATTAATATTACACACTGCATTTATTCCCCGCGAGTGAACAGACGAGTCTGACCTTGATGTTCCCCTCGGCGGATCCGCTGATGAAGCTTCTCTCGGTGTTGTCCACGGCCAGCGCTTTCACCGGCGAGTCGTGGGCCTGGAAACTCTGGCGCTGGACCTTCAGACTCAGATCCAGAACACTGATCCAACCCTTCCTCCCTCCGCTGAGCAGAACCTGCTGTTTAGAGGCCAGAGCCAGAACCGTGGAGCCCGTCTCGTGCACGCTGAAGGCTGATCACACACACACACACACACACACACGACTCAGATCTACTCGCTCATACAGAAGAACTAGGGCTGCACGATTAATCGCAATTTACATGTAAACCGATTTGGCTTATCGCGATACTGAAATGGCAAAGGCTGTGATTATCAGTTATGTGCAGCGTGTCAGTGAAGCACGGCTCAGGAAAGCACTGAGTTCCAGTCGCTTCTTTCATGAGAAGCATTTATGAACCTCTTGTCCAACAAAAGACGACATTTACTAACACGCTTTTACTCCAAACTCACTTCATCAGGACAGTTGAGCTCGTCCTCCTGTGAGATGATGCGCTTCTCACACAGAATACGGCAGTCGTGTGTTTATTACTCATGTTTAATCAGAGCGTTTCAGTCTTCAGTTTACTCAGACACAGAGAGTGTGACGCTCAGAGGGAGTTCCTGGAGTGTGTGATCGTACTTCTGTGGGGAATATGTGGCCAATATATAAATACTCGCAGCCTTTGTGCGGTTTCATTGCGGTTAATCGCGCAGCCCTAAGAGGAATCGTGTCTGAACGTGTGTGTGTGACAATGGCTTACCGTGAACCAGACTGAACGCCGGCGTGACCAGCGTATCCCACAGACACACGTTCCTGTAACGGGAAGAAATCAGCAGTTCTGGGACGGAGCATCTAGTTCTAGTTCTGATTTCATCAGCTAAAATATGTGCGCAAATACCTCCTGAGATATGCAGTTAATATTTCAATAATTTAACATATTCTCTGATGTCGGTTTGTCAATACAAAACCATGTTGGCTTGAGAAAGTCTCTGTAGTCAATGATTTTATCCCTTAAAACTCATCTTTGATCACCAAAATGACACTTTTAAACGTTTTTTTCCTTGAAATATCTTGAATGTAACTCGACACCCTCGCCTCATTTAGTATGCGCGGTTCTATGAATATGCAGATGAGCCCCGCCTCCACTCACTCACTCAGCTCAGAGATCCACTGGTTTGACGATCACACGTTGATCTGATTGGTTACAAGGTCGTTTGTGACGTCAGAAACACCAGCGATTTCAAACCGTGTTTTTGAGACTGTCTTTGGTTCACTGCAGTTTTAAGGAGAAAATACTCAGCAATGCTGTCGACTTATGAACTTACACATGGTGTGTCTTAAAGTGTATTAAAAACACCACATAGACACATAAACAACATTAAACGCAGGATTTTCAACTTTAAGTTTGAAATAATTTAGGTTTAAAGTAGTTTTAAAACCTAGAATTTTAAGATACGGAGAGGTAGACTGTAGAGTAATAGAGAGCTTTCTCAAGCCAACATTATCATCATGTTCTCATGTTCTCGTGCCGCTCGGCTCGCGCTGCTCCTCAGATCTGTACCTGTTGTCTGTCGACAGGCCAGCGGTGGCGATGAGAGACGACGAGCCCACAAACACAAAGTCATTCGCCGTCTTATTGTGACACTGAAGCGTCTGGAGGAAAACAAGGAGAATATGATGAGGAAAACACTGAGCATCAGAGAGAGCTGTATCCCCTCTGCTCACACACACACACACACACAC